TACCGTTCTCCGGGTGGCAATATTTCTGTATTTTTAGACAAAATAACTAATGTCTTAAACTCAATTCTACAACCCAATGTAAATTTAATAGTATGTGGGGACTTTAATATAGATTTCTATAAAAGTAACGAGTTTGGGGTTTTAAATGATATGTCATGTTTTAATCTTAAACCCTTAGTTAAGTGGCCTACTAGAGTGACTAGTTCATCGTGCACTATTATAGATAATGTTTTTACTAACTTGACTGGTGATAACTTATGTGTATTTTCGATAACTACTTATCTGACCACAGAAGTGTATACGTAGAGCTGGGATTTCAGGAAGATGTATCAAAAGGCTTCTTCTCTGAAAAAACGTAATTTTAGTGATAGAAATGTTGCACAATTTGAAACAGCAATTGTATTGTATTAGTGATCTTGACGAAGCTTTTCAATATTTTTACGATATCTATGTGTATTACTTTAATATTTATTTTCCTAAAAAAAAGTTTTTAATCCATTATCTAGAAAACACTGGGTGAACGATGAGATAAAACGATCAAGTTCTAATCTGAAATTTTTATACAATATTAAACAACAGTTTCCTGTAATGAGTGACGTTTATAAGGAGGCTAAAAAAAGACATGCCAGTATGATTCGTGAAACTAAACAAAAATTGTATCAGGATAGGATTATTAATAGTGATAATCCATGTAGTTCTGCATAGAAGGTGGTTGCCGAACTATCTAGTAAAACAAATAATTCCGAAAATCTTAAAATTAGGGCTGATGAGGTTGACACCTTTGATCCTTATACAGTTGCTTCTGCATTTAACAACTATTTTATAAATGCACCGTTAGACATCCTAAGTAAAATGAGGACGGTTACTATTGGTGATCCGGTTAGAACCCATAAATTCGTAAACTACACATTTTTCTTGTTACCATATATCGAGGATGAGCTACACAATTTATTAAGGAATAAATTAAAAAACAAAAAATCTTCGGGCCCCGATGAGGGGCCTACATTCCTTTTAAATCTATAATATCTATTAATATCTATTATTAATATTTATTTTGATTCAGCCACTTACGTACTTGGTAAATTTGTCTTTTCTTACGTGTACTTTTCCAAATATACTAAAAGTTGGAAAGGTGATCCCAATATATAAGAAAGGTGAGCGTAACGCCATGGAAAACTATAGGCATGTGTGCATATCGTTCTCTTTTTCAAAGATTTTTGAATATGCTTTTCAGCATCGTCTTGTAACTTTTTTAGATAGGTTTGGTATTCTGACTGACAAACAATTTGGTTTTCGTGAAAACAAATCAACAATGTCAGCTATCTTTTCTTTCTATAATAATTTAATTAAATTAATAATTGAAGCTGGAGAGTGTCCTGTTGGGATATTTTGCGATCTCAGCAGGGCATTCGACTGCATAAGTCATAAAATATTACTTAGCCGATTATCAGACTATGGAATCAGAGGTAAATCTTTGCAGTGGGTTTCTTCTTTAATTGATGGTAGGAAACAATTTACATACATCTATACAATATCGTGGAGATGACTTTCAATCATGTGTTGCCTCTAAGTATAGAATAGTTGGTACAGGGGTGCCCCAAGGGTCCATCCTGGGACCCTTATTATTTATTTGTATATAAATGCCATTGACTCGGTACACATCTGCTTTGCCCTATAGGCTGATGATCTCTCGTTAATAATTCGCACAAAAATGACGAAAGCCACATTGTGAAAATTTAGTCAGTTTATTAAACTCCACAAATTTTATTTTTAAAAACATTAAAGACGTCCTAACTAAACATCAGTTAATGAACGTATATTATGCTCAAATAGAATCTCGAATACGATATGGAATTTGTTTATGGGGTGACCACCTTATCGCAGGCTGTTTTTGTTTCACAAAAATGTGTGATTAGAACAATTGCCGGTGTTCCAAGTACACGATCTTGCAGAACCCTTTTTGTTGATTTTGATCTCATGACTGTTGCCTCATTATATATTTTAGAAATGTGTATTTATGTTTATAAAAATAGAACAAAGCTTAAAACACATAGTGATATTCATCACTTAAATACGAGACAAAAGGATCGATTCCATCTGCCCTACCCAAAATATGCTGCTATATCGAAATCACCTGATCATATTGGCTTAAGGATGTTTAATAACTTGCCCGGTAACATTAAGCGCTGTAATAACTTGAATATCTTCAAATATACACTAAAAAAATTTTTAACAATGAAATGTTTTTATTCTCTTTCCGAATTTTATCAATTGTAGTACAATTTACTTTTTTATGTTAGCATTTTATATGTGTGTGTTCATCTATATTTGTATTTTTGTGTGGGCCACTGTTGTCCATCATACGGACCATTGCTATACATTCATGTAATGTCATATAAGCAAAATAAACTAAATAAATAAATAAAGTAGCCCCCCTGAAACCATTCCTTATATCCTTATCCTGGGACTATCTTTGCGGATTTTACATAATGAGTGGGACAATGTATTAAAAGTGAGTTAATTAGTCCTACGTATATCCCCCCTCCACCTTTAAAGGTGGATTAGGGGTTCGGCTCATTTGCCCTAATGCTGACCTCTCTGTGCCCAGTTTCATTCTCTATAGCTCCCATAATGCCTTTCCACTTCTTCCTTCCACAACTAAGTTGTTCGTGTCTTCTTGTCACCCATTGCTTGGTATCTTTGATCAGCCGTCTAGTCCATCTTCCCTACTCACTTTCGTCGAATTCGGATTGCCATCTGTCTAGAGTCCTTCCCCTTTCCATCTTCCTTGTCCCCTCATCCCTTTCTACCGCTTCCAAAAGGTGTTTCCTTTTATCCACCATTAGGCGAATTGGGATGACTCCGGTCACGACTAATACTGCGTCCGTTGTTGCCGTCTTATACGCCATTGCCACTCTTAGTGCTTGTACCGATGTTAACCTGTGTCTATACCTAGCAATTCCAGTCCGCTGGAGCAGCGTACAGTATGATGGAATTGATCAAATCGCATATGCCTCCCTTTTTTTTGAGGAAGGCCCTCCAATATTAGGCATCAGTCTTAAGAGCGCCGAGGCAGTTCTCTCCGCCTTATTGCACGTTTCCATAATATGTCTATCAAACGTTAGATGTCTGTCAAATATCACTCCTAAATATTTAGCAGTGGGGGGTAGGCTGTATCTCAATATCCCTAACTTTGAACTGAAGTCTTTGAATTCTCCTCATGGAGAATATTACTATTTCTGTCTTTTCTGGGGCCATAGTTTGGGTATGTTCCGTCATCCACATTCTACATATAATCTCATTACTTTTCGTAACCATGCCTTCCTCCGTGTTGTCTGAGACTATAATATCCTTGATTGCCCCTATCGCTGATTTGCCCTTTCTAAAGCAAAATTGACTATTACTGAATCCACCTGTTCTTGTGATTTCCTCTTCGAGTCCCCTTCTTATCAAAGTTTCTAACAGTTTCCCCATTGTGTCGAGGGGGCAAATTAGTCGGTAACCGGTGGTCTCCCTTTGGACCTTTCCCGCCGTTGGGATCAGCACCAGTCTTGCTTTTTTCCACGCTTCTAGGAATCTTCCCGATCTTCAAAGTTTGTTGAAAAAATACAAGACTTCCCCTCTCTCCTTCACCAGCATCTTTATCGCTTCTGACGTGATTCCGTTCGGCCCTGGGGCCGTTTTTAACTTGTCGTCGGCTTTCTCCAGCTCCTCCTTCGTGAAGTCTTCCTGGGGGAGCCCAACCGAACTTAAATCTACCTAACTTAACCTAATTTTATTCACGCTAACTCAACCTAACCCAACATAATCTAAATCAAACCACTTATTTAAAAGAGGAAAAAGAGGTATTTAGCTATATTGGCTAATGTGGGGTGCTCATTATTAATAATGGCCGGCCAAAACCAGAATTGTGAATATTTTATTATTTTTTCGAATTATAGAAAACTGAGTTATTATCTTATTTTAAGGCAAATGAGCAAAACTGACTTGTTGCAAATTGTCAGGATTTGTTTTATAGTCTTGTTTGAATATAGCAATTGAAGTAGCTACTAACCAGCCAGACGGGAGAGATTGCATATCTAAAGAAAATTTAATTATAAAATATAAGACTTAAAAAAAGGCCACACAATGTTTCAATATAGGCGCTGGAAAACCGTTAGGTTCAGGCATCAAATCTACAAGAAGGTTATTTACACGTATATAAAATTCTTATTAAAAGTTATAAATTAAAGAAAATGCTCCTGCCTAAGTGTTGCAAGAGTTGAAACAGGAATCAAGGCATCTTCAGTAAATACTTTCTGAAAAGTCCTCACTCCAGATGAGAGTTACGTAAGTTCCAGTTACAGATTCCTGTTATAGCTCAAGCTATCCTTTTTTAATAAATTCGTTATTCTTGGTAAATATTCTCTCTCTGGTACGCGTAGAACTGCAAAAATGTTTAAAATTAAACAGCTAAATTAATTTTTTCATGCAACAACTGAAGAATTAAAACAAAAAATGGTGTAAATCACCAAGTGAATAACTTCTGAAATCATGGAAATTTTTTTTACACGGAAATTATTTCAAATAATTCCCTAGTTTTTCTAATTAAAACAGTAACTACTTTTAGATAATTTTCGATGTGATATCGTATGTTCCTTAATTCTAACAAAAAATTCAAAAGGTTTTTTTTTTAACTAAACCCTCTGCTGGGCTAGTTTTTCATTTACTTTTTCTTTTCTTTAACTAATTTAAATCTGAACAAATAGCTCAGTTTAAATGAAAAAGTCATGAACCAAATTTGGTAACAATACCTTGCACCTTAATAAGTTTATTATTTTATTTCGCTTGTAATTTCATTTGTAATATCATACAATATAGTTTATTTTCTTAATAATTTAATCACATATTGGTATAAACCTAACAATGCGACGATATCATAGCAAACGTGTAAAAATTGACGTTTGAAGAAATATGTTTACAAAATCATTTGTTTGTAAAGCTTTGAGATAATCCATTTTCATTGTGACTTAAATTCGACTGTGAGGATATACTGTTTGGATAATGTAAAATAATCAAAAATTGGATACAATTATTATGTCATCACCGCAATCTGGGAATGAGGTAGAGACTCTAGGTAAGGCATTTTCATATTTACATTCGTTTTGACAGTTTAATGACATTTTCGAATATTTGTTTCGCTTTCCCATTAACCCCTATACAAAATAATTGTCGTTTTCGTTGGTCTATTAACCAATTTCATATGTCTTTCAAATATGTAGAACACTGTAGAACGTGAATATTATTGATGGTTTTATGGCGAATTGAATTTGAGCTGTCGATTAGTTCAGCATGGAGATTTCATTAACGCAAATTGCTCATTATTAAATTAATGTTTCAATGGAGAATTCCAACAGTGAACTGCTGTCGATGCGTTTATTACATTATTTTTCATCGTTTCATAAAATTTTGTAACACTGATTGATGGTTGACACTGTCACACTGAAATGGGAAATTTATTAAATTATTTTTAAAAGCGCATAAACAATAACATTATAAATCCATTTCTAATTATCTTGGGTTGAAATTATTTTTAAAAAATGCTCAAATTGAATTATTTCTTAATCTGTTAGATCAAATAATATTAGATTTCCTCTTGTATTGATTGTTTTAATAGACAGAAGACTATGCGTATTCACATTAACTGCTCTTATTGAGTATTAAAAAATTTGAACATTTCTAGGAGAAAAAATCCATTGCTGCTGTAAAACAAGGAGTTGTGTTTCCTAGATATTATACAGGGTGCCAGGTTTTATAGGTGTACAAACCAACATGGTAGTAAGCAATTGGAGTTGGAATATTTTTTTATCAGTTAGGCCATAATTTCTATACAGAGCACTCAGAGGCGAATGAGCCAAACTTATTTTAAGATAATTTTATTCTAAATGTTACCTTGAGGTGTAGAAGAAGAAGCTTATTAATTCATCTAAATTGCAGGACCCTAAGAATACTTAAGAAATAAGTATTGCTCTTTGCTGTTTTTCTTTTGTTAGTAGAGATTTTAGTAAAACACTGGCGCTGTTTTTGTAATATATGGACTTATTCTAATTGTACTATCGCTAAAAAATTCGTTGATACGTTGATTCGTTGATCATGATCATTATAATCTGGAGCAGAAATATTATACAGATCTTTTAATTGAATCGATTTTATCTCCATTGCTTATAACTTCAGAAGGATCATTGTGAAAGATTATGTGATGAATATGTACATATATACAATTTCCCATAGTTTCCTATACTACTCCTTTCGATGTTTTACTATCACTTATTTTTGTAGGACCCAGCTTAGAAAAAATATTGGTAGATGGAAGTATTCCACGCCTAGAAATGGTGAGTTTATAACTTGAGATATTTACCGTTGAGGAACTAAGCTTACTCAACTTATAACAAATTTTTATTAACTGTTACATATTCTTGCAGGACGCAGATATAAAATGCTTAGAAACAGACTTCCGCTTGTCCAGCTTGGATGAAACGTACGGCGATCTCGGCAAGAAACCACTTGTTAAGCGAGATGCCAACAAATCGCCTCTGTTGTCTTCTATCAACAAACCATCGTCTAGTATCCCTTTGCCGGTGAAATCGCCCAAATCAGCAACACCGACTAAAGTGCCCAGCCACATTCTGAGCCGAAACTTTAGTAAACATTCCAGACCTGGATCGGCGTCACTCACCAGGCCAAATCAGGTGACCAACAAGCACACCCTTGAGATACAGTTTATCAACAAGAAGAAAAGATTAAGTCAACTCAAAAAGGACCTAGTGGAAAAACAGAAGCCGGTGCTCGATCTGTATCAGAACCTACTTCAAATCAAAAAACGTCTAGAAGAACTGGGAAAAGTGGTACAACTGGAGGAGGTGAAGCTACTGCCATACAATGAAAATGAGGGAAAAATCCAGGAGATAACAACAGGAGGTGATGGGGAAACAATATCTCCAGAGGTAGGTTTGTATAAATATTCAAACTTATTTTATTTTTTGTTATTAAAAATGCACATATGGCTCAAGAAGAACTTAATATTTTAAATATTTGGAATACAATTATTTGCTTTATACTCTTCAGATGTAAAGCAATGATTGATGGTGTATTTTTCCCTATTCTTATTTTCTACAAAATTTTCCCTATCCCTCTATCACACATGTCCTTTCTATTTCCTTTCTTACTTTTTTAATTTCAAATCTGCATTGGTCCTCCACTTTATTTCTCCAGTTGTTCTTCCTTCAAATATATGTCCTAGTTATTTCATTTTCATTCTATGACATTAACATAATTATTGTATTTATGCAATTGTCGTTTCAACTAATCTAGTGATGGACTTCCCAAAATGTAATTCATTTTTTTCCTTCTTATAAAGGTTTTACTGCTCCTGAACAAAAGTAACCTGTTCTTCTAATTACTTATTACTCTACAGGAGAATTTTTGTTAGTTCTATTCAGATCCCAGAGATTGTCCACTTTTCCTGGAGTTCCTGTAGATTAGTGTAAGATTATAAAAATAATTACCCCGTTATGTAAAATTTTTTAACTCAGGTAGTGATGAGCATGCAGACGTCCATCGAAGAGATCCCTAAAACCCTGATGGACATTTGTAAGAACCTATTAGGACGACGTGCCGTAATCGTGGACCTGCTGGATAGTGTCACCAAGTCAGAAGTGGATGTCGGCGACATAATCGATAAGATCGAAACTTTGAAGACCGAAGGTGCTCAGTTACAGAACAACTTAGACGCCATTATTAATGAGCACGAGAAGAAGATTAAGGAGCTCGTCGTCAATTGGCAGACGCTGCTTAATGACAAGAAATGCATGAACACCAACGTTAAAATAGGCGATTTGGAAGAGAAACTGAAGGCTCAGGAAAAACTTACCCAGGAATCGAACCAGATGGTACTGGAACTGCAGAGAAAGCTCGACGAGAAGAGAGCCAGTCAAGAGAAAGTCCAGGCAGATCTCAATTCTAATATTCATGCTCTGAAAAATCATATACTAGTGAGTATCTATTTTATTAGTCAGAAAAAACATCTAAGATAAATAGATGATTTTTTTAAATCGATAGAGGAAAGCAAGATCTATTCGAATTTTGTAATGTAGATTTAAAAAAATCTTTCAATCAATTTAAATTTATATGCAAAATAAAGAACAATAAAGTAGGTATAATGTATAGAAAATCTAGCTACGAAAACTTTTATTAATATTTCACGAAAATGCTAATAGACTTGTTAAAATAAAAGGAAACTTACTACTTATGGAAAGTAGAAAAATATAGCATTTTCTTGCATTAGCCATATTTACCTTTATATCACGAATATGCTCCTGCAGCAATTGAAATCTCAAGAAGTAACGAACACAAACTACTGTCAAGGTCGTTTTACAGCAAAATAATAGCGACTAAATTCGTTATCTGTTGTAGAAGCTAACAAAAAATTGATTGAAATTGCATCAGAACAGTTAAAATGCATTTCCGATTTAAACAAATTTTCATAGTTATAAAGTCTGCTTCAAAAAATCAAAATCACTTTTGATTGTTATTGTACAGTACGTTGTTTTGTTATAAACTCACTTCAACTTTGAACTTTCATATCTCGATATCGATTCATCGTATCCACAAGATCAAAAGTGGATTTTCTTCGTCAATCCTTACTCTATTTGATCCTATTCATTTGAAGAATATGCAAATACGGTAGCTCCAGATCTAAATATTTATAAGTATTTTTTCGAGGAAATTTTGAAAAAATTCTAATTGTTACTAATATGGATAAAATCGAAAATTTTTAAATGGGGATTGATAGTTGAAACTCCAAAGGGTATGTATAAAAATTGGGAGTTCAAAATAATCATTGATTTTACCGCGAGAGAGAATTGAAAAATAAGTATAATTCTGTATTTTCTTAATTAACAATTGAATTGTGCGATATCGACCCAACCGATTTCGATGAAAAAATTTCTCCATATCATGAAGTACTCAGAACCATACTTTTTATATGGCTGTTCTCAAATCAAGATCCGAAATAAATTCATGAAAAAAACATCTTTTTTCACTAATCGATCTACAGGTATACTGTATTGCAGCAACAATAACGCAGATAAAAACCACTTTTATTTTGAAGAGAATCTCAAAACAAAACTTTTTTCCTTTGACTATTTTTTCTAATGTAATTCTTCAAGTTGTACACGAAAGAAGGGAGAAAAATGCGCCTAATTAATTTTTTTTACAATTTCTTGCGCATATCGCAATTATCATTTTACATAATATTTAGAACTATTTCCAACAAAAATTAGCGTTACTATATAAAATATCCATCGCGAAACAGATACCGACTGGACTATTAGGAATTTCATAAACATGCAAAGGACCGCATTATCGGATACCATTATTTGTTATCATTCCACAACTCCATAAAATATCCTAGGTTTTGATCTCGATTTTATAAATTTAGTTTTATCTAATCAGAACTACATCTCACTGAGAAAATAGATAATTATGGTATATCGGGAATTTAGGTACTTTCTCATTGTGACTATTTCAGAAATTATTTTTTAATTCACTTTCTTTTCATTGCTATTAAAAATGATCATTTCCAACTACATATTTTAATGAAAGAATACTCGATTGCATTGTTTTGTTTTTATTACCATATCAATAAATTTCTATATTAATTAAATCAGATTTGTATCAAAAATGGTGAGAAATAAAATAATTAATTACATAAAAACCATTTAAAACAAACAAACTTACAAAAGAGAAAAGACATGAATAACACTTTGTAAATGCAATTACTTTAGTTCTTTATCTAAAGGTAGCTATCTTTGGATGGAGGTCAGTTTAGTTAAATCATGGTAGCGCCCCAGCCACATAAATTTCATTTAACATTATAGCAACTCATGAAAAAACAAAACTTACAGTAATTTGTATAAACTGACGTTTGTGAAAATCATCGTTAAAAGTATTATTACGTTCAAAAGTTATGAGGGAAAAACGGGCAAAAAATTCCTACTTTAACGCCCTCTATCTCCGAAATGGCGCGATTTAAGAAGTAAGTTTTTATCGTGAATGAACATTGTTTTAACCTGTTCTATTTATTCCTGAAGTTATCCAGATTAAACCTGAAACACCTTGTATACAATTTACGTGGCTGAAGCGCTACACCGGCACCGTCACGAATTTCATTGAATATCTCAGAAACAAGGACAAATATCGAAAAAAAAACAAGAGACGAAAAAGGTTAAAAATGAATGAGGCAAAGGTGGTTTTATTGAAATTAATGAATTTTTTAAAACTTTTGAAATAATGTAAGATGGGGTAGCACACAAAAAACACTTCTAAGAGAGGTAGGTGGTTTAAACTTAAGCTTATGTAAGGTCATAAGGAATATTTGTGTTCCGAATTTCACTTCAATCGGTTGAGTGGTTCAAAAGTTATGAGGGAAAAACGGGAAAAAGATTCCTACTTCAACGTCCTCTATCTCCGAAACGGTGCGATTTAGAAAATAAGTTTATATCATAAATGAACATTATTTTAACCTATTCTATCGATTCCTGAAGTTATCCAAATTAAACCTGAATCACCTTGTATACGTTACTTCAATAAAAATTAATAAATATTTGAAAATAATATTAAAATATAAATTTGATTGCCTCCAACTTTTACGGAGAATTTTTTTTATTATGGACCACTGAATAACAATTGTAAATTTTTTAGTATGGAAGAAGAGGAAATTTAAATCAAATTTAAATTCCGGTATTATGTTTAGAACAATCTGAAGCTACTCAATAACGCACGACTTCTTTATATTTTCAGAAATTGGAACAGGAACTAGAAACTGAGAAAAAAGCCGTAGCAGACTTCAAAAACAGAAACAACACAAATGCACAAAATTCCAAAATGTTGCGAAGTAAAATCGCTGATTTAGACGGCCAAAATAAAAATTTAGAAGTTGCCAATGCTGAACTTTCGAAAAAGATAAAGTGAGATGATTTATCAGAAATATTGCCCTAGAATTGTTATTCAATTAATATTTTTTTAAGATTAACTCAAGATCAAATGAAACACAAGGAAGCACAGTGGGCCAAGGAAAAGGAGGAACTGTCTAAAAATTTGAAGCACCAGGAACACCTGCTGCAAAAGTTAACTGCCGACAAAAATAAATTTGAAACCAGGTGCTTAATTCATATCACACTAAGGGCATTCTCGGAATTTCTCGTACCATACCCACTGATATAAAGAGTATTAAGAGACAATATAATGTCCAATTTCGATTGTCTATATCGTTGACAAATCTAAAATAGATATTTGTAGTCAGTGTACATATATAAGTCAGAATTTTGAAAGAATTATGGAACTAATATATTAAATGTGAAACTTGCTCTACATTATTTCTACTGCTGTTATAAATAAAACAATAACTAAAGAAATACATGCTATCTTTTGAGAAAATGTTTTTATTTAAACTAACCTCTTTTTACTGTTTTTTGATATGTATAGTGGCGTTATGGTAGTAAAAGTTCCTTTGTCAGGTGAGTTTGTCCTGCTCGAACTTGGAATTGATATGATATCAATCTTTTCTTTAGGTTGGAAGAAGTAGAAGGTGAAAAATCTTCAGTGGAAGAACAGTTACATGAAAATATAGGAATTTTAAAATCCGAATTGAATGAAGTAAAAGAAGATATGGGAAAGCTCACAAGAGAAAAAGACGAGGCGACACAAAGGTGTAAAGAAATGGAGGAATATATTGCCAAGATGGGCTTAGAATTCAGGGAAACCATGCACATGGTCAGTAATAGCATCGAATGGGGAAAAGGTATATGCTGTTGTTTTCGCCTGCATCTGCTAAAAGATCATTTTTTAGGTATCCCTGGTACAATTACGGAAGCTCAGAAATATTCTCAAAGTCTTGTTAAAGATATCGTGATACGTGAATGTCAGGATAAGATAAAGCAGTTAGAAAAAGAGAATAATTTCCACAAAGAAGCTATCGCTATGGTGGTAAGTACTGCAGACATATGTATATTTCCTATGAGAGTATAGGCCAATCAATAGAGGTTTTGTTTGTGACAAAAATACTAGTGGCAACCTGACTGTGCCATCATATAAGGGACAGTCTGTAGATATATGCTTATATGTTTCCTACACCAATTTACCATTACTTAATTTTTTATAAACATTTTTATGCAAAAACACATTTTTTTTTACTTTTTTTGCTTATAAAACCTAAACTAACAAAGCAATATGAATGCTATAAAGAGACAATTTGTAGAGAATCGAAATACGAATAAAACGAGAGGTCGATCGATCCTACTTTTGTGCAGAATAAGTGGTAAAAATTTCAGCCCGAAAGCTCCATTGCTTTGGCGTTGGCGGAATTTGTTATCTAAGAAGATACTATTTTCAATTCATTTTTCCCAAGCTCACAGGCCTTGTAGGGTTTCGATCATTAGTTGTTTTTGTACCTAAATAGTTGTATTGACATATACATTTACTGATAATTTAATTTTTCAAATTTAATTTGTTTAAAAATGACTTTGAAAAAATTTTAATATTTATTACATCGTTAAGCGCGCATGCTAAGCCTCGCCTTCCCCACTCGTTCGCTAGACCAAGTAATAGAACGCATCGCCGCTATCTTCTTTTTCGAAATTAAATAGTTGAATTCACCTTAATGTTAATGTAGGACATGAAAATATAGCTCTTAATGTATACTCTCTCCAAATTTCGGCTCTTAATATTAATAATTAAGGTCACTGCGATTAAATAAATAAAAAAAATTATCTCAGCTTCTAATCAACTTACAACAACGATTTTTTTTTAAATTCGAAGAAAACTAAAGTAAAGAGGTTACTATTTTATTTTATAATAATTACCTATCTTAACAATTTAATAAATATTAACATTTTTTCAGTCAATTTTAAACAAATTAAATTTGAAAAACTAAATTCTCAGTAAATGCCTATGTCAATACAACTATTTAGGTACAAAAACAACTAATGATCAAAACCCTACAACGCCTGTGAGCTTGGGAAAAATGAATTGAAAATAGCATCTTCTTAGATAACAAATTCCGCCAACGCCAAACCAATGAAGCTTTCGAGCTGAAATTTTTACCACTTATTAAGGGTGTAAAAAGCCTCAAAAATCCTGAATTACAAGTGTCTGCGATGAAAATTGCATTAATTATTAGCAATTGAAAAAAACGGCAATTTTCGACCATTTTTGAGCTCTTGTGCATAAACAAATTATCGGAATTTAATCGGACTTTTTTCATTTTATAGGCTTATTTAATACCTACCTTTTTTGTATAAACTTTTTTTTGCTATGAATAATAGCTTTTTTACGTGAGTCAAAAAACCACTTTTCCATAACTTTGACCACTGTTAAAACAAAGTTTCCAAACTAGCCTCGAGTTGATTTTTTGATATTTTATTTATAACAGGTTTCCGAACAATATTCCGCAGAGAAACTTCTAATAGTATTTTTTTCTCGAAACAGACTCTTTCATGTCTATAGTGACTGGGCTAACCCTTATGCCTCCGCCGCCATCTTGTAAAAAGGACTGCGAATGGTTTTTATACTACTACTTACTATATCGGGCAAACTATTCGCCGCACATGGTTTTCAAGGAATAATTTCCATTACAAACTTTTTTCAAATTTTATTTATTTATTAGGGTTTTACAGCGATGCGAAACTATTCTCCACTACAAGTAAGTATACATTAATATGAATGATTAGGCATATGAGACGTCCTTCAAAGTTTTTTGGGACAAGAATTTGAGTTTTGTGAGAGCTATTTTGAATTTTGTGATAAGCATTTTGACTTCTTTAAGCATTCATATAGTGTTATTCCATCATGAGTGATTGTTTTATTTGTAAAGAACAACCCTGGAGACACGTCCTGAGTTAGCTTGTGGAACAGAGTTATTCCTTAATGAGAGAGTCGACCCTACTTTACTCACTGCCGTTGGTGAACGTTTTTTCATCTCTTTATATGGTGGCAATAAAGATGATGATTCTCTTGACAGTCTTAAATATAAACGATTCGCTAAGTCAGTGACAGGAATACATTTAATTTGTCTTCACTTCCTCCAACACAAGACACAACCCGCTTGCACAGCTTCCGAGTCTATCATCAGGTCCAGTTGTGGCTCGGGAATTACAACGGCCCTCAAGACTGGGGCTGGAAAAAGTATGGACAAATATTGATGAATATTGAATTTTTCAATGTTCAAAACCTCTAGCACCCCCTGAGCTTTTAAAGTTGATATTCTGCCGATGCAAAGGAAACTGTGGAGCAATGGGTGGATATCGAAAGGCAGGCCTCAAATGTTCTTCAGTGTGCCTGAATTGTTCTGGGAGACATGCAACAACATAATGGAGATATCAAAATTGATCGAGGATAATGATTTTGAAGATGAACTGCCAACAATCACGCCACTTCATTCTCCATCCTTCCTCAACAATTCAATATCGGAAGCTCAACCAGATCCTGAGTCGCAGCCTGGCCCATCAAAGAGAATGAGGACACACTAGATTGGGAAATATATTTCGATATTTTGAATTACACTAATTAGTATGTCAGTTAGAAAATGTCCGTGGATTCTGCCTATTAGGGATACGACGTAAAAAACCGCGCCACCAGTCTACCTCGTAGGGGGTGGGGAAAAGAGTAATTAACTAATTAACAACATTGCAGTGTCAATCATTAAAATATTTCTTATAAAAATAATGGAAAGATGAGAGAAAACTATGCCTAATCATTCATATTAATGTATACTTACTAGTACTGGAGAATAGTGTAAGTTTCGCATCGCTGTAAAACCCTAATAAATAAATAAAATTTGAAAAAAGTTTGTATTGGAAATTATTCCTTGAAAATCCCTCTATCAAAATGTTCTGATGTAATTTTTTTGTAAAATGACTAGAAAAAAGTAAAGTAATAAGGAATAAAGATAATTTTTTATCTATTTTCGTTAATAACTTTGTTACTTTTGGTTCTACGACTAAAAGTTACGGTACCAAAGTTGTAGAGAATTTAATTTGCAACGAAAAATATATTTACGAATTTTCTGTGCGACGAATAGTTTGCCCGATATAGTAAGTAGTAGTATAAAAATCATTCGCAGCCCTTTTTACAAGATGGCGGCCGAGGTACAAGGGTTGCGACCCCACAAACATGGATTTAACTTTACACTAACCCCCTCTTTTCATTCAAAAAATAAAATCGCGTGCTCCGACTTTTGCAAGCAAAGTCCAAAAAAATGTAACATTTCAATGGACTAAAAAGAGAGAAACTATTTTGTTAGAATAAAAAGCAAGTGGTAAAGTTAAAACAATCTGCTAGAACTCTACCTCTTACTTTTTACAATAACAACATATTTTCCCTTTTTTTGGTGATTGTTTTCGTTCCGTTAAAAAATCTCTTGTCTAAATAAATAAGAAAAGAGTAATGATTTTTCCTAAAACGATTCCTAAGTCCTCTATAATCCTTCAAATGTTGCACGTGAAACAAATTTTTTTATCAGTTATCCAAGAACTAAGTATGGAGAATCTTAATTTACAAATACTGTTAGAAAAATATATCGATTTCTAAATCAAAGTTTAGTACTTTGCAACCATTCATGGTTGCCTAAAAGTCGTGATCATGTTAGTTGAAGTTTTATCAGAGGCAAAGATATTTCTGGACTGGCTGCCACATCGACGATTTAGGCATTCTGGCGATTCAAGATACGTATACTCTCTTCTCCAGAAGAAACTGTGGCACTGGCGGGTATTTATATTTCCTGTGTTGTGTGATGCACCTACTGGAGATTATGGTCTTCCGGTGCATAGTTTTTAGTCATTGGCTCATGTGGTTCTGGTCCTTGATTTTTGGGAATGAATCCTCTATATTTCTATTGCCTCTCCGTAGAGTCTTGCTCAAAATCTTCTCTCTCCCACTAGAATTCTTGTATTAGTGAAGTCTATCGCATATCCTTTATCTGCTCTGTGTTTCGCAAGTACCTACTTATTTTTATAAATTGTTGCGCTCCTTTAATCTTGTATTGACACGTGTTTTCCCAAAAGGACGAATCTAAACAAGTCTTAAGTCGTCATTAACCTAGCTTCTGATACAAATGTGCTTGCCAACGGTCTCTCATAGCATCCAGGCTAGCTCCAAAAGAGGAAATCATCAATGTCCTGGAAACCACGTGCCGACGTCTCTCCCAAAATGCCGTGGAAAAAGAACTGATACAGCACACGCATTACGAACTGCCAAGTCTCCGAAACCGAATCTGTCTAGTGAATATGTCCAAACAGTCAAAGAACTGAAGGAAGATAGGGACTGTCCCTTGCAAGACGAGATGCAGAAACAGAGTTTACTCCAAAACTCTGGTAAATACAACATTCCATGAACATGTGGAAAAGCTCACATTCGACAAACGGGAAAACACATTACTACAAGGTTAAAGGAGCATGAGTGTCACTTTAAAAATAACTACCTAGAGAAATCAGCCATTGCGGAACAGATACAGGGTACGCTATAGACCTAACTAATACCAGAATTGTAGTGAGAGAAAGATAGATAGAGAAAGAGCGAGAGAGAAGATTTTAGGCAACTCTACTAGGAGGCAACAGAAGTTCAGATGAATCAAGATAATTTCAATCGCGACGAGGGATTAGAACTACGAACTACCTACAGTGCACACAGCAAATATAAATAGCAGCCAGAGGATTTATCCAGTTTCAGAGTTTTTTCTGAAGAGAGTAATATGTCTTTTGAAACGTTAAGAAACTTAAAATATTGTCGTGGAAAACCCGGAAATAGTTCAATCTAATAGATTTATCTTTCCATAATGTATCTAACTTTTGCGAAATTGGAACAGAATTATTTACTTTTATCGTTAGCAGTACATTATAATCTTTTAATTTTTGGACGTTAAGAGATGGCTGTCTACCAAATTTATAAAGTCTACCCGGTCAAAGTAGCTAAAAAAATAGGGGTAAGCTTAC